GATGAGCACCACCCCCTAGAGTCAGACATGACTAGACTAAATGTCAAGGAGAACCTTTACCTTTATCTATTGGTATTTGGGTACAAATATCCCCATGCAGTTGGACTTAATGAGGGTCCATTCCCTGGGGCCAGACTATCCATTCACGCATCTGGCAGCGGTCTCACTCATCCTTCCAATAGCCCCACTCTCTTCCCACTCAGCTAGTCACTACAGGCAAGGGGAGGGAGGATGAGTCTCCCTACACAGCTGCTGTGTGGCCAGCTGAGCTGGAAGATAGCTGCTCTCCGGGCACGATTGGAAGGATGAGTGGGGTCGCCACTGGACGTGTGAGTGGACAGTCCGGCCCATCATTAAATCCAGCTGCAAAGAGATATTCATATTCGTATACGAATATGAATACCCCCATCTCCACATGAGATATGTGACTGCAGTCCCCTTATTCACATAAAGCACTTGTTATACATACATAATATCCACAGTGGGCCAAAGTCAAGTGGGGATTTCCATGCTACAATAAAATCAGCAGCAAAATGTGTCAAGAAAACCTAGCACAGGATATTATGTTCCATTTTTTCATATCTGCAGTTCTATCCCAGCATGTTCTATGACAGTGGTGGTTGGGTTCCACATTACAATCACGTGACATGTCTGCAATGGCGGTTTCCCTTCAGTGAAAGGTGATTCCCTCCTTTCTCATTCCTACTGCTGGTGCCCAATGTTGCCCAATGTTCCCAATTGCTGATCTCTGCCCCACTTCCTCACCTGAGTGGGCAGCTGCTGGAGGAGGCAGAGGAGGGGAGCACATGGTCCTGCTGGGACTAGACAAACACCTGAAGAGGAGGAGAAGAGCAGCCCATGCCAGCTGATGAGTGGGGGAGCCTACCGGGGAAATGGGGAAAGGGATCACGCGGCACATGTGGTGCCAGTCCAATGAACCAGCATGAACTTCTGAACCAAGGTTCATGCCCATCTCTAATTACTACATTGTGCTGCATATTATCAGGGGACAGCATCAGCATCACCAGTCCTCACACAGAGGACTAAACCTGCAGATGGGAAATGAGTATAGCATGGGCAGCCAAACAAGAGCTGTGGGTGGCGTTCCACACTCATCATGGGTATACAGAGCTTTGCGAAGCCAGGAGATTTCTCTAGTGTGGATGGGTGGTCACATGATATCCTGCAAAAAAAAAAAAAGGTTACCAAAGAAGGGTGCATCTGAGTGGAAGCTAAAGACATTTAGAATCAACATGACATATGATGCTAATGATAAGATGTACAATGAAACATAAAGAGTTAAGTAGCACTGGAGAATTCAAGATGGGTGGAAGTCCTTCAGTATTCTGCTGACATAAATTCTTCCTCAAGGATTTTAAAAATATAAACATAAGTATTAAAACACCTGATCAGTGATAGAGAATCCACTGATCATAAGCACCACAAAGTTTATAAACGTTTCTAAAACTTCAGTGTTTTTGACACTGCCATCATGCCTACATGTGATAAATCAGCTTCACAACAACCGTATAAAAATTATTGTTTGGAAGTGACAAACTCCTAGGGCTCCATTGTGTTGCTTTGGAATTTTGCACCTTTGAACTCCAAATCCAGCTACTTGCCTATAATTATCAGTCTCTACACATATATGATGAAGTGGTAGTGAACTATCAGCCAACACCACACAATAATTTTCTCTTTTAAAAAATCAAACCATCAATTTCACTGTCAGCATCTTTTAGTTCACTTCCTTCCATGATTCCTGTTCCACTACCAAGGCATACACTTGCAGTTTTAGCCCACAATTGGTGCATTTTTCTTCTTTTCCTTCATTGCTACTGGATCAAGAAGTGCCTACATTGTCAAAAACAATTTTTTAAAAAAATAACAGGAGACAAAATGCTTAAAGACTAATTGCTATATTTAAGAGGCCACAAGGTTTCTCTCTCCGATTTTTAATGTTTTTTTAACTTGATCCAATACAGCCCCTTCTTTCCCAGTTTTCTTTATGCAGGATCACTCCATCTTTCCTCCACTACTAGACATGAAAGAAGCTCTTCTCATGACAATCCAAAACCCCAGTGGGGTTCAAGGGGATCCAATTTTCATGCTGGGTCTGTAAAATGGACCTAGAGGAGTTACGTTATGTGTGCTAGTATCCCTGTTGTGAAGGGGAGAGAAAAGATTTCTTGCCTCCTTGATTTATCTTCATAGCAGCCTTGTGAGTTAACTTAGACTAGGAACAGTGACCGTGCCACCCGAATGTCAAGCAGCAAGTTTCAGGTGAAGTAGTGATTTGAGCCTGGGTCTCTTAAGTACCAATCCAACATTATAAACACTACACCAGTGGATCCCAACCTTGAATCCCCAGATGTTCTTTGACTACAGGTGCCAGAAGTCCTGGCCACCACAGCTAGTGGTGAAGGTTTCTTGGATTTTTAGCCCAAGAACATCTGAGGACCCAAAGTTGGGAACCGCTGCACAACACCATCTAAAAACATACATATTCTGCTGACTCTACATAGCTGTGTCTGTATGAATTTTAGTCACCTTGCTTTCAACACTGAAATGAATGTTATTGAGAATGAATGTGGTGTATTTCACTCCTCTTGGTTTAGGTTTAATGAAAATTTAGTTACAGTAATAAAAACAGATATTTTTGCTTTGGTTGCACAAATTAATCCCGACATGTTAAACAAAAAGCTTTTGTCGCTGGGTGGGTTACAACCATAGATGTGAAGGTGCTGTGGGAAGCCCACACTGCCACATTCATTGCCAATTAAATCTGGGGGCCCTTCACAGCTAGTAATTACTTTTCTTCCAACCAACAGCTGAACAAACTCTTATTGCTACTGCTTGCTTTTGGTAGGCCCTAAATGAGTCTCATCTGCATCTGTCCAAGCAGAGCAGACAGCTAAGATGAAGTAGAGATAAGTGGGTGCCTATGTAGGCACCTGGAGATGACTGAGGGACTGACTGAGCACTGTTGGACAGGCAAGATAAGTTCAGGCTACAGCCTAGACAGGCCAACATCAAAATAGCAGGTTTCAATCCAAGAAGACTCTGTGCCAGCTGCTCCATCTGAATTAAAGAAAATCCAGTCATGAGAGCATAAGATTTCTTTCCATGATAAAAGATGGAGAGCAGAAATGACACAAATCCAATACTAAAATATATTAAGCGTGAGAAATTAATGATACACAGTTAGGGCTTACTTTCTCTACTAGAAAGGAAAATATGTTTTTCACTCTGCAGATCTAGAATCGAAACACTGAGTACCCCAGGAGTTCTTGGAGTACGACTCCCAGAAACTCCGGCTGGAACATCTAGTGGTGAAGGCTTTGGGGAGTTGCCTCTAAGAACACCTGAGTGATCCAAGGCTGGGAACCACTGGGGTAGAAGACTCCAGACTGACAGTCTGAAACCATAAATCTTCTCTTAGTAAAATGAGGGAGGGAAATTAGTGTGATAACTTATTTCCACTTCTGACAGAAATTACAGAGAAGCCTGATAAGATGTGAAACATAAACAAACAAAAGCAAAATGGCCATCTTGGCATAGAACAAATCCCAGAATACATATTGAAGTGATATCTTTATTAAAAGGAAAAGGTACTTTTAAGAAAGTATAAAAGGGTCTTCAAACTTTCCAAGAATGCTACCTGTCCATCAGGCAAGATCTTTAAAATAAGTGATAGGCGTGGAAAGAAACTGCTCTGATAAGGAAAAAACAGATTGTGGCTTGTTTGGTTCTCCAAATTACTCTGGAACAAATAGTGAGAACTAAAAGGTACTGGGATGAGAATTGTACTGGGATAAGAATTTCATATTTGATCATCAAGCAACATACAATGAGCATGAGGAGATTTTAAGAAGAAAGGAAGCAACAGGTCTGATAACAAAGTTTGCAGGTTAAACCAGGAAGGAAGATGGCTGGCTATATATCCCCCTTTATCTTGTAAATAAATGCCAAAATCCAAATTGTGGTGACAATTTTACTAAATCAACTAAATATCACAAAAGTCTACTTGTTCTCTTGTTAGGTGTCCTTCAGTCTTGAACGACTATGGTAATGTGCTCTGTACAGAGGAGTTGGAACAGCATCTAGTATGGCTGAGGAGGCGGATTCGAGTGTGACAATCCCTTCCACACTGAAGACAAATACAATCTGTTCCCTGTCCAGCTCCCTGGTTTTGTTGCTTTCGTGACTGCCTCTTTGCCTCGGCCTGCTGGACAAGGGCCTCTTCAAATTGGGAGAGGCCGTGATGCAACGCCTGCCTCCAAAATAACAAATCTTTCCATTGTAATTTTCAAAAAAAAAAAAAAAACATGTTAATTTGGACATGATTAAACAAACAAACAAACAAAAACCGCACACACAAAGCAGGAACCCGATGTTGGCCCAAAGCAATCTGACGGACCAGGGCAGCAGGGGCCCCGAGGCGTTAATTTCACCAGCAGGAGCTCCTGGTTTTGTTGGGCGCAAGAAACGTCATGACAAGCAATAAACATGAACTCTCCGTGTTAAAGTACAACAGCCCAGCTGTCCCTTTTTAAGTAAGGCATGAAGCAGGACCCACGTGGAGATCAAGGCTTAAAGGACTGAATAACATATTTCCCGCCTCACCGCCGACTTCAGTTCCTTGACAGAGACTGCTGTTCAATTTGTCAGATGGAAAGACGGCACAAGCCAACGCCGAAGAGAAACGGCCCTGGGAGGAAACCGAAGGAACGTCACTGCCGCAAACACTCGCAACCGACACAGAAACTTGAAAGCGTGGAACAGAAAATCGGCAGCCAAGTCGCAAAAAAAAGGGACTTGCTAGAAAGCAAAGGGGCGGGAAGCCGGCAAACCGAAGGGGGGCGGGGCCAATGGAGTACTAGACGGTAAAGCCACGCCCTACCACGTGCGCGGTGCCGCTGGGTTTTCAAACAACTCACGTCACGTGACGTACAGTGACACGTTTTTCCCGGAAGGATGGATGTCGACGGCTGCTGTCGTCCGGCGAGAGGGGCGGAAATGACGTTTCCCTTGGAAAAAAAATAATCTGTTGACGTTATACTAGGCGATATAAAAAGTGGGGCGAGAATCTTCCGGGCCGGAAGTGGGGGGATGCTGTGAGGGTTGGGGGAGGGGCGTGCGTGAAGGGGAACTTTCCGTCAGCTGGCTGAGGGAAAAGGGTCTGAGGAGGAGGAGGAGAAGTACTCGGGGCAGTGAGGGCGGCGAGTGTCTTCCGCCTGGACGGGGAAAGGGGCTGGGGAGCCTGCTATGGACTTCCACCGGATCCTCATGGTGGCCTCGGAGCAGCAGGGACTCAGCGCCGTGCCGGTGAGTGGGAGCGGGGGACGGAGGAGGAGGAGGAGGAAAGGGATGTGCGACGAGAGGAGGGGAAGAGACGTTGCCGTTGACGCGGGCGCCTCGCCAAACCAGCTGTTGCCGGCCCTCCCCCACCCACCCGTTCGCCTCTTCCCCACTGAATAGGCTTGTACGAAGAGGGAGCCGAGGCTTCCCTGCGGTCCCGCAGGAGCCCACCCCGACCCCGAGGTTTTTGAGGGGTGATTGATCGTAACACACGATTTACAGAACCTGAGGCGTTGCTCGGTTGGGTTCCTCCAGCTTGCTAAAAGCTAGCGAGCAGCTGGTTCGACAAGATGGAGAACTTTTAAAATACCATTCCATTTCGGTTCACTTCTTTTTGACGTTCATGTAACGGTGTGATGGTGATTTTAACTTGAAAAAGCTTTCCTTATTGAGGAGGAGGGGCTTTTAAAGCTTCTAATTTATGATTAATCTTTCCAGGGCTTTTTTTAGGTACAGAGTATTCAGAAGTGGCTTATCATTACCTTCTGGGAGTATTCAAGGACTGTGTAGCTTATCCAAGGCCACACAAACTGGCTCTTCTTCTTTTTGAAGGCACAGTGAGAAATTGAACTCCCAACTCCAGGTTCCACAGCCAAATGCATAATGAGATTAGTCAATGAAAATATATATCTATTCACCTACTGGGCACACAGGCTTCTTCAGACTTTCCCTTGCTTCCACCACCACCACCTTTTAGAGATAAAAGTCTGCATAAAATGAAACTGGCCAGTCTGAACCTTAAGCCACAATTATCCATACACCTTGTAAATTAACACAAAAATTGATATCAACTGGAATGCAAACTTGAGAATATAAAATACAGAGTGCCAAGGCTCACAATGAGGCGTATAGAGAGGTTGTACCAAAGCAAGATGTGAAGCTGAGATAATGAGAGATCCAAGGAAGTAATTGTATGTCATCCCTGGTTGCCCGTGTTTCACTGAAGGGAGTAGTTCTGTCAGTGGAACTAGACTAGAGGGTGATGCGGTTAGTCACCAGCAAGATCTGGGGGCTGGGAAACAGTCTGATCAGATTTTCAAGTGTAATGGAGGGCAGTCGGAGGGGAGAGACAGAGAATGGCCTCCTGCTGTGATGAAGATTAGCTGGTGTGGTATTTGATCCTGATTTTTAAGAGCTTGTAATGTTTCGCTACAAAATGTGCTTCCTGTTTTGGGGGTGTTATTGCTCAGAAACTGATAGAGCAAAGTTAATTTATTGAAGCAATTCCAGGTGTTAAAAAAACTGGTAGTGAAACATTATTTTGGAAAAGATAGTATCCCACCTCTTTTAAAGGTGGTCTATATTTACTAATATGTTGTCCTCCCTACCTTTAATTCATTCTTTTCCTAAAAATAAATCTGAAGGGTTTTGTGGTTTTTATATTACTATAAAATTTAGTATCCAATATTTAAACAGTTATGAGAATGTTATTGTTACAGTTATTTGAAAAAAAAACTATTGCAAGAGTGATTGTCATAATGCAATTCTAAGGAAACATTAATCCACTCAAAAAAAAGTAGTTTAAGCAAAGTTTCCTGGGCTAACTTCAGTGCCTGTAGAGGAGTCTTTCTTGGTGGGCAACCTTTTTTCTATTTAGGGATTTGTTATCTTGAGGATTATGTGAAGGAGGGGGAGGAATCCCATTGGTGAGTTGAGCCAAAACAAAGAGTGGGTAGGACCACTCCTTTTCTCCCTTTCTGCCACCACCTTTGGCTCCTTCTGATGTCCTTTGTTTCTTTCTCAGTTCCTAGTGGGCTGCTGGGGTGACAGACTGGTCTTATTCTGAAGTGATTGCTAGAAAACAGTTTTTGAAATGAAGGTAAGGGCTGCATTCAGGTTGGGAACCACAGACTGGTCACCCTTAGGGTTTTAAACAGCTGTAGTGTCCCAACCTTCTTTTTAGTCCATGAGGGAAGATGTCATTACAGGATCATCACAAAGAGCTGGAAGCCCATACAAAGTGGTGCCTCGCATAGCGAGGTTAATCCGTTCCGGATTAACCATCGCTATGAGAAACATCGCTCAACGGAACAAAAAAACCCATTAAAACGCATTAAACTTGGTTTAATGCGTTCCAGTGGGCCCTAAACTTACCGTTGAGCGAAGCTTCTCCATAGGGGCGGCCATTTTCGGGCCCTCGCAAAGCGAGGCCGCGGCGGGAAAAGTTGCGTCGGCCATTTTGGAACCGCGATCAGCTGTTTTCCCCCGCTTCGTTGTGCGAAAAAACGCCATAGGGGCCATCGCTGAGCGAATGCTCCAGCGATGGCCTGGACCCCCTCGCTATGCAAATTCATCGCTCAACGGAGCGATCGCTAAGCGAGGCACCACTGGTATTTCTTTCTTGCTCCCTATGCCTCTCTTCTCTAATTATGTGCAGGAGGAGTTAGTGACCTGATGGTGATAATGCTATCACAAGTGAGCTGCTGTAGTTTCTTCCAGCATTATGCGGGTGTAATTTTGGTGTTGTTATGTACTATCACTACTTTTTATTTGTCATGTTTATAATCCCATAATCCTCCTTCTGGAAGTTCTACCTGATTTACAGACACCTAAATATGGCTCATCTTGGAGAAAAGGACTAAACTGGAAGCTTTGAGGCTCAGCTGGGCTTAACTGTGCCTGGCTTCCTATTCAGAAAGAAAGTTCCCAGCTAGCACCAGGGCTGGAACAGGAAGCTTGGGTGGTGTTAGGCCTAGCAGCCCAAAACCTTCAAATTCAGGCCTTTTATCCTGGGTGAGTCACATTTAGGTATCTAAGTCAATGTTTTCTTTATTTGCCGTATTCTAGATTTTCTTTCATACATGTGCTGGGGCATAAATTGCATGCACATAAGTGCTGCATTGACTGAATTTCTCCGCAGTCACAGAAAATTTGTCCTGCATTCATGTAGCCCCATTTTACGTGATTATTCTTTGGTGTTCCTACTTTGCTTCAAAGTCTATTAAGTGACTTCCAGATGGTCCGGTTAGAGTCTTGTCCTGGTGGGAGAAACTCTTCAGCGGCCGAGGTGTGTTTTTGCTCTCCATAGCCTAGTCTCTTCTGGTTTTATACTTAGAACTTGAGATGTGTACAAGAAAACCTTTCCTCGAATTTAGTCATCATCTAGGGGGGTTGGTGTTTGTGAAGTAGATGGGTTTGGTGTTGTATTAACTTTAAATCAGGTAGAATTTCTAGAATATAAAATTATGGGATTTGTAATCCAAGAAATATTAAAATCCTATTCCTAATAAATTCATCAATTAAAAGGTGAGTTAAGACAGTAATTGGTAATATGCACAACTAGACTCATATATGTGGTTTGTGTGAATTATGTTTCAAATTATGTACTATTGCATGATTTATGTTCACGGGAAGAAAATTCCATAAGATAGTTGCCACTACACTAAAAATCATATTCCAGGTAATTAAGAATTAAACCTCAGGAGTATATGGTACTGTCAAAAAGGTTCCTATAAAGAAATGGACCCTTCTTTAGACCTTTAGATTCCTGCATAAACCAAGTGGGGATGTAATAAATCATACAATTATTTACTAAGTACTGCCAATCAAATCCTATGCATATTTATTTTACAACCTATTCTCAGGCAATTGTTCACAGGATTACACTACTTACAAAAATAGCAGAACAGCCACATCTAAATATCTGTGACCAGTCTTGGTATAACTTTTCCACATCTTCGTTTGGGAAACTATGTCTTAAGTGCACCCACCTACTGTTCTGGTCAAATCCATTCAGATTTTTTATTTGTTTAATTTTTATACCACCCATCTCGCTGAGGACCATTCTGGGTGATTTACAATAAAACATGCAGCAGTGTAATTAAAATACTAATTTGACAAAGCTCAACAAGTTTGCATTGTCTATTTTATAACATTCTTGATCTGCACCAATTTTTGCAGTTGAGGATTGTTCACACTGATGCATGTTGACCTTTTCTAGTATACCTCTTTCAAACTCCTTTCACTGTGTATATGAATTTAATCTGAAGGAATAGAGGTTTTAGGCCATCCTACAAATCTGGAACGTGTTGACCAGAATCCTGTTACATATGGATGTTGGTGTACGTCAGTGTAAATCACCATGGAGAATTGCTGCTGGTGCACAGTTAAGGATGCAAGAATCTATTTCTTAACTAGTGGCAATTCACTGCTACAATGAATGCAGTTTATAATAGGATTCTCATTAAAGAGTAAGATGAACCCTTTGAGTCTTCCCAGAAACAAGATGGATTTCAAAGTATGCTGGATACAAAGCCATAGGAGGAGGGAAGGAGAAAGAGTTAAGACATGGGTGGGCAATTAATTTCTATGGGGGGGCACATGAAAAATCTGAACTGTGGGGGCTGAACCAACTTTACATGAAAATAAAATGAAACAGTCATGTTATGAATTTTTTAATTTTAAACTTGTTAATCTTCACAAATACTAAAGAGGTTTTTTGTGGTATGTGAAAGATAAACAACTGATCAACTTTAGACAAAAAGCTATAAATGGTTTTGATGTTCAAAACTGTCTGCGGGCCGGACAGAAGTGGCTCGCGTGCTGTATGTGGCCTTCGGGCCGCACTTTGCCCAGGTCTGAGTTAAGACATTCCTTGTCTTTTTCAGAATTTCTTAGTGAGGTATGTGCTTTTTATTGTAGTGATATTTTCAGTGTGTGCAGGACACACTTCTTTAGAGAGGTGTTATAATGGGAAAAGAACACCAGAAAGAAATGTACATTTTAAAAGCAGCATTTTCACTGCTGTCAGGGGTCATGTTCAGAAATGCATAATGAAAAGATGAGCATCCACTGGCATTTTCTTGTACAGTAATTGTTGACTCTGGGATGTTGCTGACTTACTGCATAACAGCAAAACTAACCTTTACTGACTTGGTTCTTAACAACTTAGTTTGGGGGCAAATGGTTCTGTTTTTCTGATGAAAGAATACTATCAGAAGGAAGTCTCCTTAGTGGAAGGAAACTATTGGTTCTTTCACATTTACTTTGAAATATTTTCTACTAATTAAATAGGGTTTATTTATCAATCAACTCATACAGAATTGTGATATATTATACATATTGTGCTATCATATTGTTAATTTAAGATTTCTGACCAATCAAACAAATGTTATGGAGTAAGCAAAGTTTTTCTGATTACTGTACTAAGGAAAATTTTAGTATTTAAACTGTCCTTTGTTAGATGGTGATTGAAAGCATAATTTATAAATAGATAAAAAAAATTTGCAATACAGTAACAGTATTGCATCATGTCTCACTGAAATTAAAGATTCATTGGTTTGTCTCCTTTGGGAAAAGCACGGTAAGAAATAATGAACTGTTTTCCCAGTGGTGTGACAGATACTTCATGAATAGCTCAGTTACTACAGAAAACTCAGATTTGACCTGAGTATGAATGTGTCTGTTCTGTATATCCTTAAACCAAACATCATCACTGTGTACCAGTAATATATGTTTTGAAAGATTTTAACTTAGCATTTATAGCTTTTGACTTTTTTTTGAAGTAACAAATTAAGAATTAACTTTGAGGCATTAAAAACTATATTCTTGAGATAATTTTTCAACTTCATTTTAGATCTGCATTATCTTGAAGGTAAAATGGTTCTGCCATGGTCGATTTTTTTATTATTATTCTGAAAGAATCAAAAACAAAACAGAAGGTCTTCATTATAAGTTCGCTATGAGGGAGAATGAAATTTTAAAAGACATTAACTCTGTTAGAGAAAGAGAAAATGCTGACTTTATAGCTAATATCACTGGCTGACTTTTACTAGTACTGTATTATGAGCTATGTGGTTATGTTTTTAAAAATTAGGTTTAAGGTCATGTCTGGTCTTCATAGGCAGCTCTCACATTGCTGTAGTATTCAGCCGTTACAACTGCCATCTGGTGCTAGGAAGAGATAATCAGTATTTGCAGGGTTTTTTTTTGTTTGTTTGTTTTAAAAGCACACCAAGACAACTGACCTGTGCTTTGTTTCACTGAGGGCAAACTTTTGGCTGCATCTGTGTAGGACTGATGCATTATCAAACAGAGAATGGAATGCTGGTGCTTATCTATTTTGTTCAGTTAGTGTTAAAAGAGCAAACACATAATTTAATAGGGTGGGTGTGATAGGTTTTTGCCTCATTCATGCTGTATGGTTTAGTACCTTTGGATGTAGTTCTTTGTTCTATGCTTTCTGATTTACAAAAGTACAAATACCAGCCTATTTACAGCCAGTAAACATAAACCATGATTCACAACATAAAATATTTGCTCATGTAGCTGGAGAAGTAATTGTAATTAAATTGGTAACAGTTGTCAAATATGCATCAAGTAAATAACAACCAAAGCACTGCTGTGGTTCTTTTGAATAAAATGTAGCCCATGCTGACTTCTCATCTATCTAGCGGCTAGCCAGTAACTATACTATTAGGTTTTATGTGCTTGACATGATCAGTTTTTACAAGCAAATGCTAAGTCTCACTAAAACTTTTCAGATGTAAAGACCAAACTATTCTCCCTTTACCCTGGTTTGCAGTAGCCTATAGTTTGTGAAGTACTGAAAAAACAGGAAACTATGATTTTTTACAAATGATTATCAAAAGCTTCTGATCTCCTCCCTGACACATAGGAAAATGAAAAAGCAGTGTGTGAGTTCAGAGGTTATGTCTATTCATTTTCATACTGCCAAACAATGGTTTGACCCCACTTGTGAATGTAGCTACTGCATTGTATGTTTTTGACACCCCCGTCCACCAGATTTTGACCAAAGACAATATCAAATTGTCACTTTAGGAAAAAGTACTTGAACAGAAGCCTTACTTGTAAGACCATTTTTGAAATATTTTATATTTATTCTTAGCTAACATAAATTGAAACAGTTGACAGTAATTGATTTGGTTCTTGTGTTTCGGCAGGTGCAAACACAAATAAATTTATTTTTGAAATAAATCATTAAGAGACTTAGGACTTAAAACATTATTCTCTTCAAAAGGGTTTGTGTGCTTTCACCAGCTAAACTTGCACCAGTAAAATAATCCAGCCCCCAAAAATGTTTTTTGTTGTTGTTTGATACTTCTTTCTATTATTTTCAGTGACTTTATATCTCAATATTTCTTCAAACATTCTAAACAAAGTATAAAAGGAGAAACACAAGTGACTGGTGTTGCCTCTTATAGTAGTTCTGGGCCTGCTCCAAAGCCATCTGTTAGGTTCCTTCCTATGAGGGAAATGCATTTCTTTCTCCTCTTAACATTATAAGCTTAAGTAGAAAGAATGAGTTACTTTCTTGTACCCTAAAATTTAATCTCACTGTTTATTTTTATTCTTTTTACATTTCTTTCTGATTTTGTGTACCCTTTGCCTTCATTGAAGGTTTGTGAGGTCTACTGTAAGGAGCTGCTGGGAACTTCTCCAGCACTCTACATGTGCATGATAGTACTGTAAATGCTTGCACTGTCTTTTGTTTCACAGTACCACAATCTTACATGTGATAGAATTTTGTGCATATCAGGAACATAATTGCAAGCATCTGTTTTGCTAACTGCTGATAAACTGAGTGTTTATCTGAGTTCTTTTCTTTTCAGAAAAGATACAGTTTGGCAGTAGGTCCTCCCAAAAAGGATCCAAAAGTTAAGGGTGTTCATTCAGCAGCTGTGCAAGCTTTTCTCAAGCGGCAAGAAGAGGAACAGAAACAGAAAGGTATGATTTAAATATACTCTTTCTCTCCTCAGAGTCTATTTTCTGTTATTATTTGGGACAACTTGTTTGAAGAAGTGGACTATAATCCATGAAAGCTCGCACTGTTAGTTTTAGAGGTGCAACAATACTTGTCTTTGCATGTTTGTTGAAACAGACTAATACAGTTATCTCTCTCAAAACTTTTGTCTATAATCATATGAAAGCAGTTAAAAATCTACCAAAAATGATATAGTACTGATTCTCCATTTATTGCACCAGTAGTTAGAAAATATTCATACGCAGAGATGAGAACATTTGATATCTTGCACCTTTAAAAGGAAAAACAACTATTAAAAAAAACAAATACACTGTTTTATTTATTTATTTATTTATTTAATGAATAGCGTAGAAGGAGCAGCAAATCCCAATTCTGTATTACAGCATTGTTGTGTGAAAGTTCTCTTAGCTTCAAAGCAGCTTGCCATATGGAATAGTGAGCTATTACTTGAACTGAACCTAAACAACTTTGGTATGCTAAATCAATTGTGCTCTTTTTTTGAATTCAAGACCTAGCATTTAAAGGGAGTCTGTTAACTAAAATTCTGCCAGATATTCCCAAATGCAGCGTTTAAATTTAATCTGTATTTTGATTATGTAGGCACTGTATAATCAAAATATAATAACTGAGCATGCTCTTTATAAATCCGATAACCTGTGGAATTTATATATTTCAAAATCTCCAAGATTTCTCAAGTTTAACATAACTATTTTTAAGCAGAGGCTTTTCTTTTTCACAGCTCTTGAGGAAAAAAGAAGAAAAGAAGAACTTCTGGCGAAGCGTGTGGAATTGAAACATGATCGAAAAGCAAGAGCTATGGCTTCTCGGACAAAGGACAATTTCCGTGGCTACAATGGCATTCCTGTTGAAGAGAAATCTAAAAAGAGGCAAGGTCGTGAAAGTAGCTCAGATAGAAACACAGAAGGGGGTGAATATGTGACAGGGGACGAAATGGAACAGTTTGAGCATAATCAGACAGATTCAGAGCCTGAATTAGAAGAGTATGAAGAAAAGCCATCCAAACCATCTGTTAAACCAAAGACATCTCTTAGAGGTGCACCTCCAGTAATGAATTTTCAAGATCTTCTAAAGTTGGCTGAAAAAAAACAACATGAACCGGTTGAAATAAAAGTTGTGAAAAAGACAGAGGAAAGGCCAATGACAGCAGAAGAACTGAGAGAGCGCGAGTATTTGGAACGGAAAAATAGAAAAGGGATAATATTAAAAGAAAAGAAAACAGAAAAAGAGGTGAAAAATGTAATTGCATCAAGTTCTTCCAAAAAAGACATTCCACAAAAAGAATTTGTAAAAGCTAAATTGGCCAAGCCTTCAACAGAGAAGAATTCTCTCTCTAAAGGAAGGTTTTCCTCACAAGGTGACAGTGATAAGAAAATCAAAGGTTCAGCTATAAATGAAAGGCATGCAAGTTTGACAGCTTCTTCCAAACCCAATCATTCTGAAAAAATGAAACCCATGCACAAGGGGCCTTTAAAAAGCCCATCTAACAGCAGTCATATTAAACCTACAGCCAATGGAGGTGGGAAATCTGGGGTCAGCTCTCATGCTCCAGCTTTGAAGACAAATGCGAACAATATTCCAAGACAACCATCTGTTAAAGAACTTGGTCTGAAAAAAGCTAGTGGCCATACAAAACCAACTAGTATGGCTTCTGTCCAGCCTGAAGGTGTTAAAACCCCCAGCTCCAAGCAAATAAACAACACTTCATCTGCAAGGAGTAGTTTGATTGCTGGACATGGCTCACAAGGCATGGGACCTGGTAGATCAGGAAACAGCTCAGGATTAATACAACGAAACAGTGGCTCAAGCATGGGACCAGGCCGGCCTAGCAACTTATCAACTGTAGGATCTGGCCGGCCAGGCAGCAGTTCAGGGCCAGTGCGTCCCACCAACAATCAAAGTATAGGACCTGGCCGGCCAGGTGGTAGTCTAAGTGGACTGGGAAGAGGTAACAGCTCAGGATCTGGACTGGGTCACTCAAGCAGCACTTTAATTCAGACTGCAAAACCAAAGTGCACTGTTGTATCAGAAACAATTTCATCTAAGAATCTGGGCCCAAAGCAAGGAAGTGCCCCAATGAATGGAATGAGGCCATTTTCACAGCAAAGACCTGGCTATCCATCACAAGGTACTTTAAATGTTTCATTTTAGCAGAAGGCTGATTTGCACCCCTTGTGTCATTTATATCTATTTCCTTGCAGTTGTCTGAACTTAAATATTGAAATGTACTAAATGTATTCAAATAATACTCTGAAACACAAATTTCTTCTATCCCTGAAAAAGAAATAGGCATCCTCTTTCAGATGTTATACAGGACTTTAACTTGTCATGAGATATGTAAAGGAGAAAGGCAAAGCATAGGTTATACAGTGGTGCCTCGCTAGACGATTGCCTCACGGGATGAAAAACCTGCAAGACGATTGTTTTTTGTGATCACTATGGTGTCTCGCAAGACTTTTTTTCTGTGATTGTGCTTTGCAAGACTTTTTTTTTTAGGGAACCTCGCAAGATGATTTTTTCACAAGACGACGATTTTCACAGAACAAATTAAAATCGTCTTGCGAGGCATCACTGTATTTGAATTGCATTTCATTAAAGATTTGGTTGCATTTCACATGTTTAAGATGTAATGTAGGAAATACTTTGTGTTAGATTTTCCAAGTGAAATGATTCAGCATCTGTAAAATTGTGTGTGTGTGTGTACTGTGGCTGGATTGCTAAATGAGTTAGGTAGCTGCAGAGCCAAAGGTTGGGAGTTCACTTCCCCACTGTAATCCCAGATGAGCCAGCCTGTATGACCATGGGCAAGCTGCACAGTTCCAGAATGTTCTCAGAAGGTGGGAATTCTAAACCACTTTTGAGTACTCATTTCCTAGAAAACACTAATAAGGGTCACTGTGAGTCAGAATTGATTTGATGATACACATTTACAGTGGTGTCCCAATTCACGACGACCCCATTAGACGATGAAATCGCTTTACGATTAGTTTTTTGCGATTGCTATAGGGATCACAAAATGACGATTCACTGGTTTTTTTTACTGCTTCAGGAACCAATTTTTCGCTTCACAATGATCAAAAACAGCTGATCGTCAGGTTTTCAAAATGGCCTCCTGCTGTTTTCCGGACCTATTTCTGGAAGACAGCAATGGAAAATGGCTTCCCCTATGGAGGTATTTCACCCATTGGAACGCATTAACCAGTTTTTAATGCATTCCAATGAGTTTTTACTTTCGCTTGACGACAATATCGCTTAACGGCGATTTTAACGGATTATTGTCATCAAGTGGGGCACCACTATTATGATGATGCATGTATGTGATACCTGGTTATAGTAACTCCATACAAATGTACGTGAGAGCATGAAAGAATATTTTTTAATTTGAAAAACTTTTAAGGTGTTTTACAATCTGTAGTAGTACTTTAGGTAATTGATTATTTTCTCTGTGATATCAAAGGAAAAGGAAAGTTCCCTTGGTTAGAATCATAGGAGTTGCTTCAGTTAGCGAGGGAAAAGACTTGAACAGGTTGGAGCAAGGTAGAATTTTATCTTAATTTTACAGCACCTTGCAAGGATGAATTGCTGTTATCTGATAACAAAATCCCCCCCCACTGTAGAGTAATTGCTTTTTATGCAAGAAGAAGTGAAGCTTAACCATTCTGGAAAGGAAGATGATGCTGGGCCATAGTACTAGATGTAAAATTTGTTCTTTTAAATGTTTCATAGCTATAATTGTACATAATTTCATGTAAAGTCTCACGAAAAATAAATGTTTTTGACAATAAAAAAGTGCAGGATGAAATGTTGGTCACATCTGGCTTATGGATAATTTGTACTTCTGAATCTTTTATCCTAGGTTTTCCAAGGCCTTCTCTTCCACCAATAACATATAAAAGGCAATATGAAGATGAAGATGAAGAGGATTCTGAAATGGAAGACTTCATTGATGATGAAGGAGAGCCGCAAGAAGAAATCTCTAAACATATTAGAGAAATATTTGGCTATGATCGCAATAGGTGAAAAAAATTAGCTTTTATATCATTTTCCAGTTGCTTCCATAAGTCTATAACATTTCACATAAATTGCACCACATATATGAAACTTACAGGAAAAAGTAGATTGTTGTCATTTTTAATACCAAGAGAGAAAAATACAGGATTTATTTTACCGACATTATTTTTCTTGCATAGTCACCTTCCAGATTAGTTACATAGGAAATCAGAGTTTGAGTGGAAGTTCTAAATGGAGCCAAGGATGAATTATATTGTCTATGTGTGTCTCCTAAAATACAAGTCTGACACATGATGCTGGAAATGCTTGATGGAGTGGGGAACATACTTTACATACTGTATATTGTAGAGCAGGGGTCCCCAACACCTGGTCCGCAGCCTGGTGCCAGTCCGTGGCCTGGGATGGACCGGGCCACAAAGACCGATCTCCCACCCCCACATGCACTCCCCCGCATAGCCTCTATGTGCATGAATATGAGTGTGTGCACCCCCTGTGCCCCCACCTTTTATGCATGCACATGAGTGTGCAAGCACCCTCACCCCTTCGTGAATGTGCGGGGAGTGCCTCACCTTCCCCGCATACGGGCCCCATCCTCCCTCAACTGGTCCGTGGTGAGAAAAAGGTTGGGGACCACTGTGTAGAGTACACGCAGACCATATTCATTTGCTAATATTTGAGAAACATATGAGTGGCTAGGCTAAAGTCTCTTTCCCCATTCCTGGAGAATTGAATTAGCCTGGTCTACCTATATTTATTGTAGGGATGTGGTGGCGCTGTGGGTTAAATCGCAGAAGCCTCTATGCTGCAAGGTCGGAAGACCTGCAGTCATAAGATCGAATCCATGTGACAGAGTGAGTTCCTGTTGCTAGTTCCAGCTCCTGCCAGCCTAGCAGTTCAAAGCGTGCAAATGTGAGTAGATAAATAGGTACCACCTCGGTGGGAAGGTAACGGTGTTCCGTGTCTAGTTGCGCTAGCCCAGTGACCACGGACACTCTCTACGGACAGACGCTGGCTTTAGGGCTTGGAAACAGGGATGAGCACCGCACCATAGAGTCTGACACGACTGGACTAAATGTCAAGGGGAACCTTTACCTACCTGTATTTATTACAAGCAGTTCTATTATATGCAAGTATGTGCGCAGTTCTGGTCTGAAATACATGCATTCATATATTTGTAAAATTGCATTAAACTTTCAGGTATAAAGATGAAAGTGATTATGCCTTACGTTACATGGAAAGCAGCTGGAAAGAGCAGCAGAAGGAGGAAGCCAAAAGGTAAGTATTGGGAGCTAAAATTATACAGTTCATTCACTCTGTTTAATCTTGACTCAAAAAGGAACACTTTAAGCAATGTGATTCTAAATGGAATCAATACAATACCCTTTTTCCAACATGCTGCTACTGCGTTTCATTATATAAGTCACATTTGCATTACATTTCTTACAGTAATTATGTCCATTGTCAATAAGACCTGTGCGAGATATTTATTCTCCATTTTATAGATCAGTAACAAAGAACTGGCTGAGTTAGAATTAGACACTAAATGTTCCATTCCTGAAGAATGCCAAAACAGGTGTTACGTATACAGAGAACACAGAATTCACATTTTGTATTTATCACACATAGATTACATTTTGACTTGAAAACCTGGTGAGATGATGAGTGCAATTCTGTGAAGTGGGGAAGAGAGAGTGCACTGCATGGACCTTTTTTTGGCTCTCCTGAGTCCCCAGTTTGGCCTACAAAGTTCCAAGGTTGGATATTCCCAGTTCCGAAACTTTGTGCTTTAAGACAGGATGAAGATGGGAGCCTGAGGGTCAGAAATAAAGATGGTCTCTAGCAAGTGCTATCTGAAAGGGGTAACCTTAACTTCAGCGAGGGAATCAATTACATTAGATGTGTAGCCATTCCCTCATAGCATGTAGTTTAAGCAGAGTTGTTGAGGTAAGGATCCCAGCCACTTTTCCAAACCAGATCCCCACTATCTACTTACATAGCATAAAAAAACCCACTGAGTTCTGTCAAGCTTGCTCCCAAGTACATGGCACAAGATAATAGTGTGTGAAATAGTGTTTATATTAACATCTTACTTGGATCCCTCCATCCATCTTCTTTGCCATATATCCAAGCAGGTAGGAATTTTTGAAGATTTGGATCAGTTAGTTGGTATACCATATTTTTCCATGTATAAAATGACACTTTCCCCTAAAATAATTAGAGGAAAAATTGAGTGTTGTTTTATACACTGAAGGAAGCAGTCATGCAATGCGCTTAGGCGCCTCTTGCTGCCACTGCTGCTGCTCAGTTGCCTCTTCCAGAGCTTACGGCTTATAACTCTGGTGGCCCTGAGGCAGCAGGAAGTGGAGGAGAAGGAGCATTCACATGCGCTCGGGTGCCTCTTGCTACTACCTCCCCTGCCCACCCATCACCATATACAGTGGGACTAACGGGCTCAGCTCACGTCCCCGCCTTGTCCCCTCCGGTGGTGGAGGCAGGATGAGGTGTAGACAAACAAGCACTTGCGCACGCTTGGGCACCTCTTCCTGCTGCCACCGCCAGATCACCTCCTCCCATGATCTCCTTAGGGCAGGGGACAAGGCAGCGATGTGAGCTGGAGGTGAGCCTCGGCAGTCGCACTGGAGGAGGTATCAGGCGGGCAGTGGAGACAGCAGCAGCAGGAGATGGAGGTGGACGAGCAGTTGCCCATTAATTGCTGCTCCACCTCCATCAAGGGTCAAAATTGGGGCGTTTTATACATTGGGGCAGTTGTATACACGGTAAAATACGGTAGTCCTTTCCTATTTAGTTTAGGTAATTCCTAAATTCTTTGTAATCTCTTCTCATAATGCAGCAAGAGTAGTATGATTTAAGGATTTGGTAAGAGTTCTATGTTTATATTTTAGTGCCTTTCTTTAGCATTAAATTTTAAATTTCAGTGAGGGCACTGTGAGTCTGTTGTATTAAGTCTAGTCATGGTGTTATGTGGCATTTAGAAGTCTAATGGCCCATGGATAGAAGATATTTTTCAGCCTCTTTGTCTGGCAGGCTGTGCTTCTATATCTCTTGCCTGATGGTAGAAGCATGAAGAAGTGCTGTCCCGGGTGAGAATCATCCCTAACGATTTTACTCACTCGGTTTAGACAGCGGGACCTGACAATTTCCTCCAGTGGGGTTATGGGGCAGCCCATAATTTTTTGAGCTCTCTGTAGTGCCTTCTTACCTGCTGTTGTTAAACCAGTGTATCATACCGTGACACAGTATGTGAGGATGTTTTCTATTGTTGACCGGTAGAAGGATGGAATCAGCCACTGTGCCACTTGTTTTTTTCCATAGAACTCTTAGGAAATGGACTCTCTTTTGGGCCTTCCTGATCACCTGGGACATGTTGCTTTTCCAGGTGAGGTCCTGGCTGAGATCCACTCCTAGGAATTTAAAGGTGGAAACCCTCTCCACGCTGCTCCCCTTGATATAGAGTGGGCCTGGTTCCTGTCTCTGTTTCCAGAAGTCCAGCATCATCTCCTTAGTCTTGCTAGTGTTTAGGTGCAGGTTGTTTACTGAGCACCATGTAGTTAGTTTCTGGATTTCTTTCCTGTACGCTGTTTCATCCCCTCTTGTGATAAGGCCCAGCACGGTGGTATAGTCTGCAAACGTTATTACCATATTAGATGGATCTGAAGATACGCACAACGAATACAGATAGGGACTAAGCGCACAGCCCTGAGGGGAGCCTGTGCTGAGCTTCATGGAGGAGGAGGTAAAGGACCCAGTCCTTACTGTTTGTGGGTGGTCTGGCAGGAAGTCTCTAATCCAGTCGCAAGTGAGGGAAGGAAAATGGTGTTGAAACCCAAGCTGTAACCTATGAAAAGCATCCTGACATAATTCCCAGGTGTTCAATGCTGTGTGTAGCGCCATGGCTATGGCATCACCAGTCGACCTATTTCCTCTGTAGGCAAATTGGTGTTGGTCGAAATTTGATGGAAGGCATGACCTTGTTTGGAGAACCAATTTTCGAAGCACTTCATCACTACAGACATCAGTGCGATGGGTCTGTAGTCATTTAGGCCATTTATAGTCATTTTCTTTGGGATCGGGATGGTGGTGGCTGCTTTCAGACATGCTGGTACACTGACTGTTTGCAGGGAGATGTTGAAAATCCTTGTTAGGATCCTCCGTTAGTTGGTCAGCGCAGGTTTTTATCACTTTCCACAGCATTCCATCTGGACCTGCAGCTTTATTAGGATTCATGGCCTTCAGTGCAGCTTTCACCTGATGTTCGTGCAGGATGAGTGGTTGGAGACTGGAGGGCCAGTGGGCTGGTTCTACAGGGTCTGGTCTCTTTACTTCATAGCAGGCGAAGAACGTATTCAGCTCTTCCACCACCAAGGCATCAGCTTTGCCTGTCTCCATCATGTTGCCCCTATAGTTGGATAGGTGCTGCAGCCCCTGCCACACCTGCCTTGGGTTGTTGTCTCTAAAATATTCTGATGAGGCTCCGCACATGCGCAGTTTACCCATAGTGAGAAGGAGAAG